ACGTACATTGAAACAATTGACATCAATGTTATTTGATAACAATAACACTATATACCATCAGTATCATCGGGTGACAACCGATTGATTCTAATGACTAAACGCTCAACTTCACAGTATCCCTGTGGATTAATGTTTGTCTAATCCTGAGGACTCATATTCTAAGACAAACCAACATTCTGACACTCCCTAGTTCTTAATAGTATCAAAAATGAGATCAATCTGTGACGAATACCACTTACAAATGAAGTAGTAGTACTTTGTTAAAGTGCATAAGATGATTGTAATCGATTTTCTTTTTCTAACAAATCCATTTGTAATAAATCTAGTTGTCAATATTCTAGATAACACTATTGATTATAACTAATACTTGTGATTTATATAAGTTACACTACATGATTTTACGGTTTATTGTTTATACTTTCTATAAGAATAAAACAAGGATTTACTTATTGTTATTACTAGTTGTTAAATCAAAAGTTTAGAGAAGTATGCACCAAAAGATTGTAAACTATGTTTGTTTTTTCTTTGTTAATATTTACATTAGATCAGCTGATATGTGTAAAAGTGAAATCAGAACATTTTTGTTGTTGCCGATTTGTTCATGTCACAGTTGTATTCATCACAAATTAATTTCGAAGTGATTTATTACATTAGAAATACAGAAGTTTTTTTAAAATTCTAATTACCAATAAATAATAATAGAACATATGGGAGCATTTTACACAAATGAATCGTTTCTTTTTCCTTTTTTTGGATGTATATGTTCCTATCCACATAATTGCACCACAGTCCACCATTGTCGTCGGTGAGTTATTATCTCAAAACAGACCTGGGGAAACTCCACTGATCAGGATTTCTCACTAAAACTCTAGGAAATACCTCTTGAAGTCACTAATGAGCAGATGATGATTATTATCAGAAGGAGGTTTAGTGAAGATTTTAGTAATTTCAATAGTTGAGATCATGAGTCAATTGAAGCTAGACTACCATGGAAAACTTGGATGCACTGGAAAGCCGTTTCGTTTTATTGTGAGACTCCTCATCAGCGCGCATCCACAATATCGTCCCGCGGGAAGCGAATCCAGGACCTATCAGTCTCGCGCGCGAACGCTTAACCTCTAGACCACTGAGCCAGCATCTAACAGCCGTCCAGTGCTTCCAGGTTTTCCATGGTGGCTTTTATTGAATTGACTCATGAATCTAATTATTAAATTGCTAAACTCTCCACAAAACCGCTTCCTGATATATGTTCCTATTTTTTATAGATTTCAGAAAAACGGAACTTTGAACTAAATCTATTAACAACATAATTCTCATAACAAATTAAAATTAGATAAATCTCTTAGAATTGATTTGACTCCAAAAAGAAATTGTCTTTCATTATTATGCCCCAATGCTTAGTGACCTAAACACTGTTGATTGACCTTTCGTTAGTTACCATGCAACGAAGAGTAAAAGACGATCTATAGAAAAGTAAAATTCATCACACGAACTGGAGAAGACAACCAGATCAATGTAACAACATACCATATGAAACCTGAAAATCAATGTAAACGACGTCAGATTTTTTTAAAATATCAGCTAAATGTTCAAGGGTAAATGAAACAAGGCTCCTACAAACCTATGAAAATCAGAAAATAATGAACAGTTGTTTCATTTGAACTTGGAATTTCTGGTTAGTGTTCATTCTCGATATAAAGCGTTTAAATTCTTTGAAGGATATGACATTATCGAGTCATTAAGTTTCAATTAATACTTTCGTCAGTGTGCAGTTTTTTATTACTTGACATCTGTGTTATTATTAATTTTTAGTTTTCTAGTTGAACTTTGCTAAATCAGCCTTGAAACCGATAAATAATAAATATATGCAAAGATGGATAGTGGCTAGCAATTGAATCCAAAACGCGCGTTTCGTCCTACTTGAAACACGTTAGCATGATATACCTGCATCTCAGAGTTGATGTTCACTTTAAAACTCAAACCCAATACCGTCCGCTTCAAATGTAATCGCGTTATCCAATTAGCTACTTAGTCCTGATAGCCACTTGCACAGTATGTACATATACCAATAAAAGACTGATCAATTGCAGTCCTAAACATCAATGGTAAGATTCAAGTAAAACAATACCAAGTGAATTTCATGAATTTATGGTTATTATTTTAGATAAATAGATGTACTGAATTTAGCTTGATGTCAGTTATTTCTTTAAATAAAAACTGTTCCGTCAGTAACCATTAGGACATTTATAGCTTTCTGAGTTCAGTGGTAAGAGAAATAACTCAACTGTTTTATATTTTTTCTTAAATTGAAAGAAAATATTAATTTAGTTTAGATAAAAAAATGACATTAAACTGAATACTAAAAGCATCATTTTTGACTTACAGCACGTGGTTGAGACTCCATTCGACGACTCTTTCAAAAGATAGTTGGAACAACTGAGAGACCACCATTGCCATGACTAACACAGGCCATCAAGCCTCTTCTCCTTTCCAAACTGAAACTGAAAAGCTGACTACATTGATAATGATCAGATTATAGATTAGTGTTGAGAATGTTTAAATTATTTATTCACTGGCCATCTCGTTATTATTTTTTGTATGATTTGAATTTCTAGTTTTATTCCTTCAAAACACTTCATCAGAATTAATCTTCATTTTTAACAGGGATATATACATCCTTTTCCGTTAAAAAGAAGAATTTGATAAGTCCATTGGCTTAAACTGAAGCTTAAAAAATCTTATTTTTCAGATAACATGTATCAGTTAGATAGTTGAAATGTACTTTACATTAATCAGAAATGAATCATTAAGATTACTCGATGCATTACAGTTTGACTATTGGAATTTCATCATTATTAAAAACTAAACGAAATCATATTAACAGAAGAAGGTTGTGAAGTTTGTTAAGTCCGAGTCCCACATGAGGGATCGTACGTGTACACTGCTGAGGAGTCCCATATTATGACGAAACAACTGTACGATACTTCCAAGTTTTCAATGTTGTTCAAACATCGACCCACTCATATTGAGACGGTGGAGAAGATTTGTAGCTCAGGTGGATGATTTTGATGGTGTTTTGTTTTCTGAGATGGATGGTTTACTCGTGGAGCTTTCATCACCAATGGGAGACACAACCAAAACAAAGGAGTAAACAATGACAAATTTGAGGTCAAAAAGAACCAATCAACGTCAAGGTGTACAGAATAATCTGTGAAACGCATATGAAGAAATTCGAACACTTCACTTCTATCTGAAGTTTGTGCTGATGATGTCGTTCAGAAGAACAATGAAATCTCCACGACCAAACCATCCAGCTCAGAGAGCAAAACTCCATCAAAATCCATTCATATTATCCATCATAAAATGAACAGTTGATCTATAGAACATAAAAATACAATTTGTATTTTCTCATGAAATGAACAAATATATCACATAACTTTAAAATGTAAACATAATTAATGCCTTTGTCTTTCGTGTTAATAATTTGTCCAAAATAAACATAATCGATACATACTACTCATACTGTAGTGAACAAACACGAGTGCGGACAATCGAATTATATGTAGCACAAAATTACAGAGTTGGTAAAATAAAAAAACTATACTATAATACTTAATTTGCAAAATGTTCAATAATTGTCTCGAACTTCATTGTTCGTGCATTTCCATACTTATTGCTTTCTATTCTCGCTCTTCCTTTTTTGATCTTCCCCATCTTCTGCCACCAGACATTACATTCCTGACTCGCGTCATATACTACTACTTATATCAATATAAGTAGCACGCATCACAATACTACTCATAGACATATACTATAAATCACTGAAAAACTATTTTCACAATTTACACTTAGTTCTCAAGACAACACGAACAACAAAAAAATGTACACAGATTGATTTTAACCAAATTTTCGGAATTTTTAATAAATCAAGCCATCATCATTGTTTTTTTCCTTTTTTTTTAAATTCTTCTTTAATATGAATATAAAATATTCAACATTCCTGAATTTTCTACAGGTACATAAATCCATTTTTGTATCTACGTGTATACCATACGTATATGTGTTTATGGGGGAATACAGATATGTTCCACTGATTATATCATATGTAAACATGTGGTGTGTTTGTAGTTGTTGAATAGCACAAAATCTTTATTTTCATATATATATATCTATATGCATACATACATGCACACACACACAACACACACCGAAAAATGTACGCACACACACACACACAAAATTCTCTTAAAAGGAATGTTACTAATTATTGGACCTGATTGAAAATTGATTACAAATGTTCTATTTGTATTTTTTTTCTATACCTATCAATATTTTTGATAATAAAAAGAAGAAGAAAAAAAATTTTTTGTTTTATATTTCTTGTTTGTTTCTTTCATTTTTTTTCTTCTATTGAATACTATCCTTTCTTTTACATATTACTTTATACATCGAATACTTTGTTAGTTTAACATTTGACTAGTGTACATTTGTACAATATAAGAATTGATAATAACCGTTTACATTATTACTATTATTATTATTATTATTATTATTATTATTATTATTATTATTATTACTATGCATGCGTGCATACATCAAATAGGCATAAATCTATTTTATTTATCCATTGGAACACAAACTATTCCACAATGTTGATTGGTTAAAAGTCACACAAACTACACGTGAATGGGATAAAATTTTCACTTAGAATTAATCGATAAGTTTTAAAGCGACTAGTAAAAATTCAGACATAATTATATACACATATCTATATATCTATCTACATATATATTAAATACAGATAAGATATTGAATACTTTAATAAATAGTTAAATTGGTCAGTTTTAGGAAATGGATTAATTTTGTAGTTAGCAACATATACATTCTATATATTTTATGAACAAAAAGTAATCAAGTCATTGAATAGATTTGAACATTTCGGATATATATATATATATATATATACATAGTTTTTGAAGAAACCTCTTTTGGGAAAAACAATGCAAAGATTATATGCTAAATCAGTTGCAAATGTTAATACAATTAATATATCTATCATTGGTATGAATGGTTCTGGAAAGTCAGGTAAGATAACAAATTTTCTCTCTTTTATTTTCTTTCTTTTTCAACATTCTACAATAATTTATGAAGTATATTTATCTGTAATAATAGTGTTATGATTAGGTATGGAATGGAGGTACCTGAAAAAGAAATTGGATTACGAAGTGGTCTTAGTGACCTGAGAGCATGACCGCAGTGCCCAACGGACAACTGCTTGAAGTCGGTCACACACGACCATTTTTATGAGTAAGTTTTGTGTTAGCTCCGTACTTGTTGAGACCTTACCGCCGGAGACGGATATCTGTGGGATAATGCGAGGTGTGCATTTTTAGGGTCCAGCCAGTATAGCTCGGTTGCTTCATCACGATAGACAAGCTAGACCACCACGTCAAGGTAAAAAACAACGGTCGGGTGTATACACTCTCTGTCTTCCCTTAAACTAAGAGATTAAAATCACTTCATATCTTTCTTTCTAAGAACTAATTCTTTCTTCCTCTACTGTATCCTTATATACAATCTTTCTTTTATATATTACCACCATTGACATAACCACTCCTAAGAGCTCGGTGCTCATCTTGTTGCGTTAATGAGGTATGGCGACTTGGACCGTTGTAGCTGACTGACTGAGGTATGGAATGACTGTCAAATAGAGTTAGATCTGATGTTGATTACTTTGATAAATCATTTTGAAATTATTATGATGATAATTTACTATTGAAATTATTGATTTTTAAAAGTAGTCAACGATGTGTTTTACAAAAAGTAAATTATATACATAAATATTATTATCAGCGATTGAAACAATGAATAATTCTTAATTGGATCCAAGATTTATCAACGAAGTAAATAAACATTTAAATTACTACATGTTAATAGGATTCACAAAACAATTATGTTCTATACGATCACTGAATTATGTTAAGATGATGAATTTGTAATCTGTCAGTGTGTGATAATAAGTCATTTGAAATGTAAAGAAACTGTGGAATGAGAAGGAATACACGTATATGTGTGCAGATCTGATTTGATCCCCTTCCTCTTTCTTCTGGTGGTTGAGTGGATTATGATGATCCCGATAACTGAAGTGAAACACGGAATACAATGGACAGCTCAGAACCAATTAGACGATTTGGACTTCGCAGATGACCTAGTCCTCCTATCTCATACACATGAACAAATCCATATGAAGACAACTAGTTTAGCAGCAGCTTCTGCATTAGTAAGCCTTGACATACACAAAGGGAAAAGCAAGATACTTAAATACAACACGGAAAACACCAACTAATCCAATCATAATTTATGGAGAAACTCTGGAACAGGTGGAATCCCTCACATACCTGGTCAGCATCATCGATGAACAAGGACGATCTGATGCAGATGTACAGGCAAGGGTTGGAAAAGCAAGGGTCGCATTACCACAACCGAAGAACATATGCGATTCAAAACAACTGTCTGCAAGACAACATCAAAATCACAATCTTAAATGCGAACATCAAAACAGTTTCACTGTAAGAAGCTGAAACTTGGAGAACTACCATGACCAAGAAGGTGCAAGTGTTTATAAATAGTTGTCTACGCAAGATACTCAACATCCATTGGCCGGATACCAACAGCAACAGCCTTCTCTGGAGAGAACAAACCAGCTTCCATCTGAAGAGGAAATTAGTAAAAGACGATTGAAATAGACAGAACATAAATTACGCAAATCACCAAACTTCATCACGAGGCAAGCCCTAACTTGGATTCCTGAAGGGAAGCGGAAAAGAGGAAAGCCAAAGAACACATTACATCGAGAAATAGAAGCAGATATGAAAAGGATGAATAACAACTGGGAAGAGCCGGAAAGAATCGCACAGGACAGGGTTCGTTGGAGAGTGGTGGTGGGTGGCTTATACTCCTCCACGAGGAGTAACAGGCTTAAGTAACAAAGTAGAATACCTGGGAACCGAATCATTACCTTACCAAGTACTATCCAATGTAAGCTGTTGAGGAGACAACCAACAATATACTGAACATTCAATGTTATATTGTCTAACAGGACGGAGTTCAGAAGATTATCAATAGTTTGACATTCATCATCATATACAGAATATTAAGTTCAGTCTAAGGTTAAGTATCAGAGAAAATTTTCGATTGTCTATAAATCTATAGAATAGATGAAATTTAGTCAACAATCCAATGTATCTATTTACTAAACATTCAAGTAATAATAATTTTCGATTTTACATGTAGTTTGAGATGACGATAATGTCCAAAACAATAATAAAAGATCCTCAGCTAAACAATCGGACCTACAGTACTACTAAGAACATCAATCAGAGCTGTAAATGATTAGAGTTTTCCGATCAAAAATATAAATATGAAAATCACTTATATAGCTTAGTTCAGGAATTTGATCTGTCATTGAATCACTAAAAAACTGCTTTGTCTCCAAGTTACACTGAATAGATGTATATATATTACATGAATATCCTTTATTATTATTGTTATAAGTCTCACTATTTATTTGTCACTTCACTTCATTTATCAGTGATTCATTCATCTTATCATGAATACAGTAGAACTCTTCTGAAACCGAATATATACACCTATAAAACAAGGACAACCTCTAAATGACTCTATATAACAATTTACATGTTTTTGATTGAGATCATGAACCGATTGATGTTAGACCACCACAATTGAAAACCTGGAAACACTGGACGGCCGTTTCGTCCTATTGTGGGACTCCTCAGCAGTGCGCATCCACGATCCCGCGAGCGGGATTCGAACCCAGGGCCTTCGGTCTCGCGCGCGTTATTATGTCACTATGGTTGATCGAATTTTGATAATTCTAGTAATAATTAAGAAAAATAATGGTTATATAACTTGATTGAAAGTATCAGAAGTATTACTCACTTAATGAAATAAATTATTAAAGCTAAGCATATACTCACTTCTGGTCTATTGTTTTGAATGGAAACCAATCTGAATAACTTAGACCATACATTTCAAGTTGTAGAATCATGTGAGTCTAAGTTAACTCCTTTTTCTTAATGTACAGGTTAATGGGTGTTTGCTAATGAAGCATTTGTAGATGACACGAAAAAGATGGTTTGTTCCTTTCAGAATTAATACATTTATTTTAATAAATGAAAATTCCTCACATGAATTAAACTATATAGATAACCAGAAGTGAGTGATGATAACGATACATAATTTTTGTTCCTATATTTATGAAAAAAGCAACCGATCAGTGTTTATATCTTAATTTCAAAAGAGGTAATTTCGTACCTGAATACCTGAAGAGCAAAACCTCAGACTATGACGACAGATAAAAATCTTAGAATCATTTAGGGATCACTAGTTCCTTCAAAATTTCAGGTACGCCATGCTATAAACCTAAAACTAGAATGTAACCTTGATCCAATGTTTCCTACTTATGACCTTCAATCACCTAACACCCAAATAAAATAAGAGTTTCATCGTTAACAAGTCGAAATCAAGTGATTTCTCGTTTTTCAAAAAAGTGAAATGAATATGGCCAACGCATTTTACAGCAATGAATTATGTAACTGATTACTTCAATATTTCACAATAACATCAGTATCTATTAGTTCTACTCTTGGAAACTTGAACGATGTTGTCCTGCAGTATACTTTAAAAATAGAATTCACGAGTTGATCTAAATAAGATCACCATTAAAAACCTCGAAGCATTGAATGACATCTTCGTCCTAGTAAGAGACTCATCAGTAACGTCGATCTACCATCCCTCACTCACGACTACAATCAAGGATTTTCGATCTCGCACACCGAACACCTGTCCAATGCTTCCAGGTTTCCAATGATGATCTAGCTCAGATCGAATCATCAATTCAACAGTTTAATTACTACAACTCTTCAAAAAATTCCCCATAATATCTTCCACCTACATATTGAGAAAATGAATAATTTGTTTATAACAGAATCGAAATACACAAATAAAACAGATGTTTTATACAAAACAAAATACAATTAAATGGCATAATTAAATTCACTATTTATTTATTAATTTACTTATATGTTTCACTAGAGCAATTAAGTGAAAGTGTTTTATATACAACAACAAACTGACATTAGACAGATGATTATTGGCAAGTTAACATGATGCATATTTGTGCCAACCACTATGACGATCATAGTGCCCGGCCGACGGATCCGAAGCATTTTGTGTAGACAACCGTTACTAAACACTTGCATCCTCTTCCACCTGGAGCATCTCTGTGTCAACTGCCGGTCTCAATTCCGGATAAATGAGGAGGGTTGGGCATGGGTTTAGCGATCCCATCCGCAGAACACTAACTCGCTAAAAAACACCAACCAGAAACAAAATGATATTCACTAGATCAGTTAATATTTAACCGAATTTCTAATTTTATTGAGAAATTATAGTCAGTTAGTCATAGATTTAACACGCGTGATCTAACATTACGAGAAAACTCATATTTTAGGATCAACTGGTGTAAATTGATTGGTAAATCGTCATTAGCATTACAGTTAGTCGATATCACGATTATTTACTGATTCTGGATAATAAACATGAATAAGATTACACCTGTGATTCGAATGTACTCAATAGTTATTCGAAAAATGTGTGTTGTGAACATTTTGCATTCATCATCCAACGAGAGATCAGACATTGCATGACTCTTCAATATTGTACTAACTTTCAGTTGGTGAGTGTGAATTCGATTAAATCTCATCGTGAGACGAAATAACTGACTGGTTCTTCCTAGTTTTTAATCTAAATCGGATAAATTCATTGTGTGATATGGACAACAAATTGTACAATGTCTGTACATCTCCCATTTTAGTAGGATTATAATTACTACTTTCTTCACTTACGAGAATGAAACAAAAGAATCAGGCTTACTATAAGAAGGCTAGGAAGACCAGTGCAATAATAAACTGAATTTCATTTATGCAGATCACATTATTTTCATTCCATTAAGGTTACTTATTAGATTTTATAATCTAAATTAAGAAATCTTCATGAAAATGTGAGTAAAAGTGAATGATCCAAGAGAAATGACCACTATATAATCGTCAATTTTCTTCAGACGTCAGGTTTTAAGGTAATGATCAACGTCAGTCAGTTAGTTGTTTATACACAAAGTATGAACCGTTACATTTCACACAAACTTAACTAACAAAAATGGACAAAAAGAACAGCAACTCAATTCACCTAATGCTAGTGTTAAAAGAAGATTAGATTGAAAAAAAAAACAAAAAAAGTCCGTCAGTGTAAAATATCAGATAATATAGTGATAATAATATGTCATTAAGCAGTAGTCAGTGGGTACTGTTTTCAACTGGGAAGTACCGGTTTTCAGTGGTACCCATAATTAGATCAATCTATGACCAAAATCACTTGAAAACTAAATCCATTTTAGAAAACCCCTTAAACCTAACTTCTGCATTTATTAAATGTTATCAATTTTAATTACAGTCAAAAATGTTCCGTAAATAATCTGCATATCAAAGTAGAATAGAAATAATAAATTCAATTCTAGTCATTGGTAATATAAGTGAGTAAAATGTCGTTGAATAATATTGAGTTCGGCCAAACAAAGTTCAGTCAAATCGAAGTATCCATTCCTTAAAAAAAATCACAAAGGGGCCATAAAAACACTGGGAAACGTCTTAGCTAATCAGCATTCAATAAAAGTGTCCCAGAAACATCTGGAAAGTGAAAAGTCACATGCCACATTCCTGATTGGATGATTACCTATCCTGCTAGTCTGTTTAGAAAGGTTCCAGAATTTTCCAAGGCCATCTGAAGTGCTAAAGATAACATGGATTATCTGTACATAAACTAAATTTTAAGTAAAGCGTTATTTCCATAAATCGCACCTTTTCTCTCGTGCTCAAGTTGCCGTTTAGATTTAGTCTTGGTGTTACTAGAAGAATTCAGGAGACCAAATCAAGCGTCCAATTGAAAGATTTATCACATTTGAAATGCGTTTCAATGATAGTGAATTTTTCAAGAATCATATCATTAATTGGAAAATAAGGTTTTGCAGTCTCGGTTGCTATGCTAAGCCCACACGGCTTATTCTAACTTTGGGAAAGCTATTTTATTCATCCTTCTTGAGTCACATTTTGACCTCGTTAATTATTCGCTTATCAACCTTGACTTTTTATGTAAGTGTATATGTGTGCATTTCTTATCTTATTCATCACATGTCTGTAACTTGTTTTTTCCTGACTATAAATATTGATTCACGCTTGATTAAAATGAGTTGGCTCATATGTCACCTCCATTGTGCGTCACTTCACTTCGCTTTCATCCTTTTGCTTTCTTCACTTTGTTTCTTCGCTTCGTTTGCTTTGATCAACATCCATTCTCGTATTTGACTTATTTGATTCCATTATTCACTAACGCTATTTAAGTCAATGATTATATGAGTATAGGCGATATTGTATTTCAATAACAATCATACGATCTACCTGGAGTCAGATCTAGGGCCTCTAAAGTTTACTCAATGTTCGTAATGAAAAAGCTTTTATGTCTAAATAGTGCTGAGAAATATACAGTTTCGGTTTCATTTGTAGTGATTTTTGTAAAAAAGACGTAATTTTATCTTTCTGTTCATTAGTTAACTCATCTTAAATATGATGACCAATAAATGGTGAACTTGTTTACGATTAAGAATATGATGGATTAATTTGAGCACACAAGTTTATATCAATGTAATTTTTCTTCTAAAGGATACTAGAACTGTAAATGAGCATATTCCATGACCACTTAGTTGAAACACATGAATTATGGATTTAATAGTTGAATTCGTGACTCAATTAAAACTAGACCATCATACAAACCTGGAAGCACTGGACAGCCGTTTTGTCCCAAGCGCGGGGCTCCTCAGCAGTGCCCATCTGCGATTCCGCCTTATGAAATTCGAAACCAGGACCAATCGGTCTCGCGCGCGAGCGCTTAACCTCTAGACTACTGCGCTGACATCCAACGGTGTTACTATCTAACTTCAACTAGCCCACGAAATTGAACAACCGTCCACCATTGTCTTCTGTGAGTTACTATTTCACAACTTACTATCTCACGACTTCTCACTAGAACTCTAGGAAATACCTTTTACAGATCATCACTAGTGAGCATATGATGATGGGTTAGAATCTCGCGATGCAGGATCGTGGGTGCGCATTGCTGAAAAATCCTATACTAGGACGAAATAACCGTCCAATGCTTCCAGGTTTCCATGGTGGTCTAGCTTCAATTGACTCATTAATTCAACTAGTAAATTACTAAAATATCCACAAAAACTATCTCTAATTATGAATTTACAGTATAGTCGCCTAATTATTTTAATTATTAGTCACTTGCTTATTGCAGGTTAAATTTGACTCAGAAAAATATTATTACTTTTAAAAGAAGTCTTAAGTAGTAAAATGGCCACTTTGAATACTTTAATTGACCATGAATAAAGTTGTATGATAATTAGTACAATTGAGTGTTAAATATCATTCTAAGTTGTAAATTTTATGATTATTACACTCTTGAACGATTTTTGTATCAAATAAATGACAGAAAACGCAATATTGTAGACTTTCAATTATTTGTATACTAATGATTTTGTTTAATACTCATTACAAAGTACTTTCCATTGATGGAAATAAAAATTTGGTCTTTTTTGTTCAAATAAAAGCGGGATCTTTATGAACTTATCAATAAGTAAGTTTAGATTATCGAGCGTATATGCTGACTACCAAAAGATTAGACTAGAATTATGTAAGAAATAACGAGATTTAGGAATGATCACAAACCATGATATATATGTCAGGAGGTGTAAACAACCTAACTGGTGTCCATGTGATGATCCTAATAAGTGAATGTTAACCATAGGTGATGTGGCTCAAAATCAATGGTATTCGTAGATAATTACTCATTTTCTGTCTTCTGTTATTTTTGAGTTTTATTATTCTTTCAGTCTCTACTCAACAATTTTCTTTATCTAATGTTCCATTCACAAATTGACCAATATGTTGAACAAAATTTGACATCTTAATGAATCTAAGTGACATTTCATAAGTGACGGTGAAAATCATAGTCACACTGTAATTTGTTTAAGGGTGTCTGAAGTAAGTTTGTCTGAATGTTTTGTGCTAGTTGACACTTTAACAATAAAATCTTAAAAGTCTTGATAAAAATGGTAACACCATAGAGCTGTTGAACCACAAATCATCTTCTCTAGGAGTTAAACATCAACCTAGTGACAACTGGTATATAACACTAGTTGAGAGGTTCCCATCAATTATTTCAATTATCTAACATGAAAACAAAGTGTTTAGAGATGTTAAGCCATGAAAACAGGTAACGACATATATATATCAATGCATATTTACCCTGATTGAGATTTAGGTTATCCTGATAATCATCACAAGTAATACGCTTAACTTATTTAATATTTTTTGTTGATATTATTTTACAGCTGTGGTCGTCAAATATCTAACCCGTCGTTTCATTGTGGAATATGCACCTTATCTGAGTAAGTATGATGTGTTTTTTTTTGGAACTTGTTTGGTGAAACAACGAAGAATTTTGGAAAAGAGATAATTACATCATTTTATTCCTAAACAGTTAATTGCGTTCTCAACACTAAGTATAAATAACTCTTTAAAAAACCTTGCTGAACCAGAAAGCCCTAAGATTTAAGTGAATATACATAACGTTTATAAAAAAGTAATTTATGTTTTCATTCACCTTCCAGTTTATAACTGTGAGTCAAATACTTACATATGTTAAGTCTTACCATGTACATCAACGAGCGTCCTTTGTTTAACAACCACTAAAAACTAAGAATCACTAGACATATGTATTATCCTTTAAATGGGATTCATGAGGTTTAGGTGACGAGTCATGAAGAGTGCAGTTCAACCGTGTTCTGTTTGGGGCAGTTATCCAGCAATAACACTGAAATTTGGCTGGGAAGTATCACGAATTAATTAAAGTTTAAAATAAAAACCATCGAATATTAGACTAAAAGTCATATGGTTACATGTTTAATAAGAGATTTGAAGGTCTCAGGTTCCGTGCGATCATAGATGCATAATAATGAAGAATTCTGTACTAGAACAAAGAAGATGTCTATTTCATAGTGGTTGTAAATGATTTCCTAATGAAGGTCAGTTCGTAATTTAAACTATAAAAGAATCAATATCAGAAGGCGTTTTTTGTGGATATTATAGTAATTTCAGTGGTTGAGATCATGAGTCAATTGTGATAAGTCTTATCGATTGAACGCTATATTAGTTTCCTAAGCTATTCTGGTACCCTGAAAGCTAGAACTGCATAGCGACTTGAACACCAGAGAGTAGACACTAGTATGAGGGAAAATACTTTACTCTGAGGTTCATTTTATTAAAAGGTTTTATAATATATCTAAATGTCCTTGGGTCGCTGGAATACTCTGGAATGCTACTAAACATAGTCGCACTGTAGTAGCCAACCAATCAGAGCTTCCGCATGTGACGTTTCGCTATCTTGATATTTCTGGCCAAGATTTCAAATGAACGCTGATTGGACGAAACACTTCTTAGTGTTTCTTGATGCTTGCTTGCCTTTTGCAAGCGATTTCTGGATCACCCCAGCAAATTGAAGTTAGATCATCATGGGAAACCTGGAAGCACTGGACGGCCGTTTCGTCCTATCTTGGGACTCCTCAGCAGTGCGCATCTACGATCCTGCCTCGCAAGATTCGAACCCAGGATCTATTGGTCTCGCGCGCGAACGCCTTGATATACTTTGCAATTGTCATTATTAAAAGAGATATATATCTTGATACTTCATTTTCTATAAATCTTATCATTAATTTCATTAAAAGTTAAGATCAAAACGTTACTTACATTCGGTGTTTGTTATCAAGAAACGTTTCAATAAAACTAGTTGGTCTGTTGTATAGTTTTTACTGAACTGATTAATCTATTTATTTCTTATACATTGTATTGATCAACTGCTTATTTATACGTTTAGGTGACAGTTATACGAAAGCTGATTCAGTCGATGGCCATGAATTAACAGTGAACATTCAGGATACATCTGATAGTGTAAGAATAAGTTTGTTTTAATAATGATTGAAATAAATGAATATTTAATTGAGATATACTGAATGATTTTCATCTTGTGACATAAATTAACTAACAGAATATTCTATTCAATCATAATGTCCCATTACATTTTAAATAAGTATTGGTTAAGTGTTCAGAATACTTACATTTTAAGTCTTGTTACAACTATGAACTACTAAACTTCGACTAACGTTGTGTAGTGAACGAGAATACAAGAGGGGACAATCCAATGTATTTTAATACAACATTATAGAATCTCTTAGTAAAATATGAGAACCATGCAATAAATACTTCAGTTGCAAAATGTCAATCAATCGTCTCAGATTTTATTGTTCTTTCGTTTCCACACCAATCATTCTTTTTTCTAGTTCCTTCGATCTTCTTAACCTTTTTCTGTCACGTATTTCACTTCTCATTGATGATATATACTACTTACATCTACTGACACCAGTAGCACACACCACAATAAAAGGCATAGTGGAAAATCATGATTGGTGAAGTTTAATTAAGATAGAATTGAGACAGTATCACATTAGTTGTATTAGATAATGTCGTTTCATATTGTAGATTGATTGAAGTTTGGATCGTCAATCATTAACAACTGATTAAGTAGTTTGGAAATACCATTTTCTCTATGAGATTTGAAAGTTTTACGTCTTTTCTAAGGGGAGGGGGAATTTCGGATAAATTACTTCATTATACTATCAAACTATTATGAAAGAGATCAGTATAATGTGTTTCATGGTTTTATTAGTATTTCAACTAACTTTAGTTATTAACAAAAGCCGAATTCTTCACAAAACTCTCAACTGAACGTAGTGTCTTATTGAAAAATCAACATCAGTAATTTAAGGTCAATAAGAACCAATCAACGTCAAGGTGTACAGAAAATCTGTGAAACGCATATGGAGAAATTCGAACACTTCACTTCTATCTGAAGTTTGTGCTGATGATGTCGTTCAGAAGAACAATGAAATCTCCACGACCAAACCATCCAGCTCAGAGGACAAAACTTCATCAAAATCATCCACAAATCTTCTCCACCATCTCAACATCAGTAATGTTTTTTGAAAAATCACTCTCTAAAACATTTGTCTTTATTTCACTTAGTAATTAATCAGTAGTACATATAAAAATGTCTCCTGTTGATTTTATGCTTAAAACATACAAAGTAAACAATTACTTAGTACAAAACTTGTTTACTCATGTAGTAACAATGTAGTGTAAATACTGACAGTATATTTTAATCTAAGAAAAATACTTCTATGATGTAGAAATAGTTCTAGTTATATGAGAAACATGTGTTGAACGTTACTAAATGAATTTTTCATCAAAAATACTTCTTTCTTTAAAGAATTCAAGAATAATTAAATAGGTTTATTGTAGTTCTACAGAAATAGAATAAAGTCTATATGTGTTTAATATAGTGGGGTGTGTGTTACTGATGCTGACAGATATAAGTAGTATGTATCATCAATAAGACGCGAAATTCCTGACAGCAGAAGGTTAAAAAGATCGAAGGAATGAGAACGAGAACAGAGAATGATTGGTGTAGAGACGAAAGAACAATGAAATCTGAGATGATTGATTGACATTTCGCAGATGAAGTATTTACTATACGGTTTTCAGATTTTACTAAGAGATTCTGTAATTAACACAATTAGCAAATGTTATATCACTAGCTTAGTCTCACATAATTATTGTGTTATTGTAAGTGTATTTTAATGACAGCTTTAAGTGATTTCACAACATTCACCTCAACTAAGTCGATTGTGATAATCGTCTTTGAGTTGATATAGTAAAGCTTTGACAGATGTTAGATAGAGCAATCATATAAAGTACCAGTATAGGGGTTGTGGAGATTATTAAGTTTTTGATTGAGATCATGAATCGATTGATGTTAGACCACCGCTGGAAACCAGGAAGCACTGGATGGCCGTTTCGTCCTACTGTGGGACTACTCATCAGTGTACATCCACGATCCAGCCCACAAGATTCGGACCGAGGACCTTCAGTTTCACGCGCGAACGCTTAACCTACTGGACCACTGAACCGGCATCCAATGGTGTTAGTGTCTAACTTCAACCAATCCACGAAATCGCGCGACTGAAGGCCTTGGGTTCGAATCCCGCGAGCGGGATCGTGGATGCGAACTGCTGAGGAGTCCCACAATAAGACGAAACAACTGTTCAGTGCTTCTAGGTTTACAACGGTGGTCTAACATCAATCGATTCATGATCTCAATCAAAAATATAAAATGTTTATAATTTTCTTGTTTCAGTTAGTACGACAAATAAATGATTGATATTAAGTTCAAACGAGGGATTACTTTCATTTCATTTCATTTCATAGGATGAAATTGATCTTGAAGATATAATTAAATGGTCACAAGCAATTATTATATTATTTTCTATGACAAGTCGCCGAAGTTTTATCGTGCTCAAGAACTTGTTGAAGCAATTCATTCACAATCTGAATCAATTGACAGAAAACCAAAATTATCAGGAACACAACAATTTAAATCAAATAATTCACAACACATAAATACATCATCATCAACATCATTAAGTACTTCATCAGTTTCATCAGTAAATCCTAATTCTAGCAGTACACAACATAGTTTAACACAATCTGGTTCTTTAAGACGTTCAGCATTATATAATATTAATACTGTCAAACCACCTAGTATAATACTTGTTGCGAATAAATCAGATTTGGAACGATTTCGGTAAGTAATTATGTAAAAGAAAATGTTTAAAAAGGTTGAACAGTAAAGAAGCACTAATGTAGTCACTACGTTCAGTAACATATATATATATATATATATATATATATATATATATATATATATATATATATATATATATATATATATAATTGTTTATTATTACTTAAACAGTTTATATTCACGGTTAAGTAACTTTAAGAATGGATTTGGTAGAAATAGAAATCTTTGTTGAACGATGTTGTCCTACAGTAAATTTTAACAATACAATTCACGAGTTGGTCTAAACAAGATCACCATTAAAAACCTGGAAGCATTGAATGACATCTTCGTCCTAGTATGGCACTCATCAGTAACGTCGATCTACCATCCCTCACTCACGACTACAATCAAGGATTTTCGATCTCGCACACCGAACACCTGTCCAATGCTTCCAGGTTTCCAATGATGATCTAGCTCAGATCGAATCATCAATTCAACAGTTTAATTACTACAAACTCTTCAAAAAAATTCCCCATAATATCTTCCACCTACATATTGAGAAAATGAATAATTTGTTTATAACAGAATCGAAATACACAAATAAAACAGATGTTTTATACAAAACAAAATACAATTAAATGGCATAATTAAATTCACCATTTATTTATTAATTTACTTATATGTTTCACTAGAGCAATTAAGTGAAAGTGTTTTATATACAACAACAAACTGACATTAGACAGATGATTATTGGCAAGTTAACATGATGCATATTTGTGCCAACCACTATGACGATCATAGTGCCCGGCCGACGGATCCGAAGCATTTTGTGTAGACAACCGTTACTAAACACTTGCATCCTCTTCCACCTGGAGCATCTCTGTGTCAACTGCTGGTCTCAATCCCGGATAAACGAGGAGGGTTGGGCATGGGTTTAGCGATCCCATCCCGCAGAACACTAACTCGCTAAAAAACACCAACCAGAAACAAAATGATATTCACTAGATAAGTTAATATTTAACCGAATTTCTAATTTTATTGAGAAATTATAGTCAGTTAGTCATAGATTTAACACGCGTGATCTAACATTACGAGAAAACTCATATTTTAGGATCAACTGGAGTAAATTGATTGGTAAATCGTCATTAGCATTACAGTTAGTCGAAATCACGATTATTTACTGATTCTGGATAATAAACATTAAGATTACACCTGTGATTCGAATGTACTCAATAGTTATTCGAAAAATGTGTGTTGTGAACATTTTGCATTCATCATCCAGCGAGAGATCACACATTGTATGACTCTTCATTATTCTCCTAACTTTCAGTTGGTGAGTGTGAATTCGATTAAATCTCATCGTGAGACAAATAACTGACTGGTTCTTCCTAGTTTTTAATCTATATCGGATAAATTCATTGTGTGCTATGGATAACAAATTGTACAATGTCCATACATCTCCTATCTTAGTAGGATTATAATTACTATTTTCTTCACTTACGAGGATAAAACAAAAAAATCAGGCTTACTATAGAAAGGCTGGGAAAACCATTATAATAATAAACTGAATTTCATTTATGCAGATCACATTTATTGACGTAGAATAAGTTTGGTAACTAATCTACAGCTCATAAAAACTTTCAATCAATACATCTAACTACTATATATAATTTTAAGTAGCTGAACAAGAACAATAATTCATTATTGTATTGGTTGTTTGAGTCTGCCCATTGATCTTCAGAATTGATATTGATCAGTCTCATATTGGCATTCGTATGTCCTGTACAAATCGCCTCGGTATTACCTTAGGTCTCAAACATTATGAGCATAGATTTATGGTTGCTAGCATTGGAATCCAGGATGCACGTTTCGTCCTGTTTGGGACTCGTTGTCAGGATGCACCTTCATCGCAGAGTGTATTTTACTAGGGCACTAGATCCCAGTACCGTTCACTTCAAACGCCATCACGTTATCCACTTAGCCACTGAGTCCTGATAGCCACTTGCTTGTGCAATGTTGTAAAGTTTTAATTCATTTTGTGTTGGTTGACCAAATCTTCCCGTTGATGTTTAGTACTGCCATTGATCGGTCTCTTATTGCACAAGCTAATGGCTATCTGGACTCAGTAGCTAAGTAGACAGTGTAATGGCGTTTGAAGAGAACTGTACTGGGTTCTAGTCCAGGAGTGAACATAAACCCTGAGATTTAGGCGTATCCAGCTGACGAGTCCCAAATAGGACGAAGCTGATAACCGCCATCCATTTCTGCTTTTAAATCAATAGTCATTTAGAGCAGTTTTTGTTGTTCCATCGTACTGAGGTTGATTAGCTGTTTAATAATATTGATAATTGAGTTAGTGCATATTTCATTTAATAGGAGTTACAGTGACAACTTAAATCGATATATGTTTCCATTTTGTAATTCTTCCTGGTTATTATCTATATAGAAGGATAATTTGTAAATCATGCTAACATGTAACCATGTTAAATCCTGACTGTGAATGACTGTGAATCAGTCACTTATGGTCTATAAACAAACTTATCAAGTAATTCACGCTAATAAATGTAACATCAGGATAAAGAGAGGAAAAAGTTAAAATGATTATCATTGAGTCAAATAAAGTGGGATAGATGTAACAGAAGTTGAATGAAAATAATAAGACTTTTGAGTAAGATACATCACTCAGAAGTATGTGAACAAATCACTTTGCATAACTGTCCAATGCTGATGTATCACTGATTTAAAACTTTTCATTAACTTCATTGTTGTATTGTATGTTTGAGTAAAATTCAATAGCACGTCACAGATGTGCAGTAATCCCTTTTTTCTGTCCTAAATTTGTGTAGTTTGGTTCAAAAAGCAGAAGCTGAAGAGTTTGCAAAATTTCATGGAATTCCATATTACGAGATAACTGTTACTCAAACCTATAGAGAAGTTCAAACTATTTTCCATGCAGCAGCTCGTCTTTGTCTTCAATCGAAAGGTTTGAAACCACGTCAAATGAATGGACAGACTACATCGAGTGGTAGAGGTATTCTTCCTGGTGGAAATCCTCCTAGTGTATTAACAAGTTTAGCTGTGTCACCAAGCCTGTTACTACAGAAAAAATCAACATCTGTATCACCTAATCTCGATGTAACAACAAGTACAGAATCTGAATTGAATACAACAACAACAACAGCAGCAACAGGTGGGCCTGCTTCAATTCTTTCCAATCTTAAATTAAGGGCAGCCAGTCCTAATTTGGTTACAAGTGGGATAAAAACACCAACATCTATTAGATTCATTGGATCACAATCTATTCTAAATTCAAAACTACCCCCAACCCCACCCAACCAACCAGTAACTCAACTTTCTTCATCTCAACAACAACAACAACAACAACAAACGAATTCAAAACCTGTCACAATCCAACCTACATCAATGACACAAACACCAAATACATTAACTCGTAAACATCCAAGTGTAAGTAGTAGTCAACCATCAACAGAACAACAAACAACATCTTCTATTACACCAGCTAATATTAATCAAACATTATCAACATCACAAATACAATTAAATAAAAAACCACCTTCTATAACACTTCCTCAACCGAAAAAATCCGGTTTAGGTTTTAAATTTTTCTCTAAAAAAAAGTAATTTATTGCAAACAGTTTCCTTTTTTGTTTTTACAATGTTTTATTAATAATTATTATAAACTATAAGAATAATCCTCATCATATTAGAATGAATATAAATGTTGAATGGATATTTTTTTATAAAATCAGTACTTATGCTCATTTATAATTTCGGTGTAATTTCTGGCTAGTAACAAAGCCATACATCCAAATATACATACATATATACACACACATACATATATACATATATATATATATATATATATATATATATAGCTGTTGGTTAACTGAAAGCATAACATATTTTCATTTGAACTATCATATTAGTGTTGTTAAGTAGGTAAACAGAACCTTGTATTGATTCATCTTTTACTTTATTTAATTGTTTTCTAGTTATTATTGCCATTGAATACTACTATTATAGTTGTATATTGTGAATAATGAAAATCTTATTTTATTATATAAAATAATAGTAAATTGTATTTCTATAAGGTTGAGATTTGATTTTTAAATTGTACAGACGAAATTCTACATCTTTATTATATTAATAATAATAATAATAAATATCATCATATATATATACATACAAATCGTTTTGTACATTAGTAATGATATGTAAAGATCATTATGAATGTTTAGTGATCCGGGATCTGACTCTAGTGAGATCGTTTCTGATTGTTATTGAGATATACATATTGTTAATCGTCGTATATAATTATCAACTTAGATTGCGTTAGTGAATAACGGAATTTAATAAGCCAAATAGAAGAATGGATTCACAATTGATTGATCATTGGGTGGTGATCAATGTCATGTGTGTCAAGTCCTTCTTTACTGCAGACAGAATGCTATCGACGATGTTGCAATGTGACCACCAGTCTAGGTGACTCAACACTGCAGGCACTATATATTGAGATTAGATGGTGGTTGGAGGTAGTCGACAGTGTCGAGTCGCCTAGACTGGTGGCCACATTGCAACATGATCGATAGCATTCGATGTGCACTAATAAGGACTAGACAGACATAACATTGATCGCGACCCAGTGAATAATCAATTGTGATTATACCTTAGTCCTATAGGAGGTCAGTCGCGGCTCGTATAGCTCAGTGGTAACGTCCCTGACTGTGAAGCTGGGTGACACGAGGTCGAATCCGCCAGGGAGCACTAGTTCCCTCAAGACTGCAGGTACACCTTGCTGACGAGTGCCAAGTAGCACGAAACCCGCGTTCAAGGTTTCCTGTAGACTACCTCCAACCACCATCTGGAAGAGTGAATTTTCTAAAAAATATATATTTTGTACAATCGTTGATTGGAACAGATAATCAAAGAGACGTAGAGAAGGAAGCGAAGAAGAGAGAGAGAGAAACAACACGTAGTGGAGAAGGCATGTGAGACAACTTCATTTAATCAAGAGTGAATTAACATTTATAATCACACAAAAATAAACTACAGATATGTGGTAAGTAGGATAAGATGTACGCACACACATACGCTCATATAAAAACAGTCAAGATTGATAAGCGTATAATTAACAAGATCAAAACATGACTTAACAAGAATGGATAAATTAGCCCGTTCAGAAGCTAGAATAAGGTATATGGGTTTAACATATCAACCGACACTACAAATATAAATCAATGTTCCGAATGTTCGAGGTTCATGTTACATGGAAAAAACATGGACGAAATTCAACAATCATATAATATGGAATTCGTATAAACTAGGGATCATGAATCTTCATCGACTGAGATGGTTGAGCCACGTGTTACGTATGCTCGAACACCAATTACCACGACGTGCAACGCTAACCGGTGTTGGAGCTGGTTGGAAGAAATGTAGGGGCGGCCAAACCAAAACGTGGCATCAGTACTTGAAGTCACTAATTTCTAGTCTGAGCCATGTTGGGAGATGAAGACTACTTGGTTGGGGTCCGCGTGACTATCGTAACCAATGGTTGGGGACTCTGGGTGACATGGCTTAGAACCGATCACAATGGCGTCGGTGTATACACTCTCTGTCTTCCCTTAAACTAAGAGGCTGAAACCACTTCATATCTTTCTTTCTACTAACTAATTCTTTCTTCCTGTACTATATCCTTATTGCAATCTTTCTTTTATATATTACCACCTCTGAATTAACTACTTTTATGAACCCGGTGTCCATCTTGTTGTGTTAATGAGGTATGGCAACCGGTTCATATATGTGCCTGGTCCTACGTTGTAGCTGACTGACTGACTGAGGGATCATGAAATAGATATTATATTGTAATTTCTAACATTATTGTTGTTTAAATTGATCATCTTTGGTGGGACTAAGAATCTGTTACTTCTAGATTTAAGCGTAATGATGAAACCTCTAGATCATTATAAATAAAAACCTGGTATATTTGTAATACCCTAATGAGTAGAAAAATTAGATATTCTAAGGTTTAGTGACTCAATGCAAGCCACTTCTTTAGAGAATAAATAATCAAATCCAGGAAAATCCAAGTTTAAATAGTACAAAGAATAAAGTAAGAATATTAGGTAAGATCAAAAACAGGTCAATGCTACGTCATTCTGGCCAAGGTGATTTATAAGCGACATGTATGTGAATTTGTGTGTGTGCATGTGTGCACGGTCAGAGGTGAAAAAGATATGAGATAGCGGAGAAGATTTGCAGCTCACGTAGAAGTTGGTGCTGATGATGTCATTCTGAAGAACGACGAAAGCTCCACAACCAAACTATCCAGCTCAGAGAAGAAAACTCCATCAAAATGAAAAAAATATGACTTTTGTTGTGAGAAAGGATGAACTTTAATTTGCATGTACGAAAACAGTGTAAAGTGTGAATAATATCAGACATCGAAGTTTGAATATATAGTCCAAGTCGGATGGATAGTTAGGCCTTCTTTTCTGTTGAGAGTAGTAGGGTTAGGTCTTATGTGAAAAGCTCCAGCTACTTTCCTTTCTTTTTGTAATAGTTTGATGTTTTTTTATATCTATTTGATGATTGTTGAAAATAGCGTGAACTGCTATTGCCAATTTAATTTGAAATCTATCCAATTCTAAGGGAGTATGGGTTGTTTTCTTTTTATACCTAAGATCTTCTTTGACTAGAGTCAAGATTTCGCGAGATGACTCTCTGATATAGAACGTATCACAATTGACAAATCCTAATTTGTAGACACAGTTCTGTGTTAACATAAAAGTAATTTTTTCTTTTGTAGCAAACTAAAGTAATTTGAAAGGTATTTGTTGTTTTGTAATATACATTGATTCTGTATTGGTTTAAAATTCTTTGTAGTTTTTCTGTTGTGCCATGGCGGTAGGGTGAAATTGCAGTACCAATCCATGGTTTTGATGGAGTTTCATTCTCTGAGCTGGATGGTTCAGTCGTGGAGCTTTCATCGTTCTTCTGAACGACATCTCTATCATACTAATCCATAGTATTTCAGTCGAGTTACTATTAAGCAACGAAACGTTTTGTTTTAATGAACTGATAATCTTCATAAGAAAATTATTATATTTTAAGACGTTAATTACATGCCTTCGTACATTTTGTTTGTCCTCTTCAGATGTGATAATCTTGTTAGCATTTCTAAAAAGGATTTAGGGTCAGAGAGATTTTTAGTTATAACATCCTACCTAATGCCCACTTTATTCGAAGTTTTCCAGTCAAACATTGATAATGATACTTACTTTAGATCATTAGCTCAGTATCCAGTTATCCAGATTGTTATCTTGGGTTAATTTATAGTATGACAAGGCGATTATTTAGTGTCGCTCTTGATGACTATCTCTTTTCTCACATGACTATACTGTGCTGATTTAGTGAAATTAATGGAAACACTAAAGACATTTTTAGGGAGAAAAACTCTTTCTTTCAGTGGTATAATTTATCAAAGCTATAAGAATAGCAATTATAGTATTTATTTATTATTATCTTTATTCAACGTTGTATTTTTGGGAATAATATAGAACTCTTACCACAAAGTATTTCAGCGAGTTCCCGTTTCTTAATTTTTGGTTGATCCGTATGATAAATATTGAGTGATCGCCAGTTAGATGTTAACAATTCAGAAGTCGACATTTGAATAATATTCATTTTTTTAAATGCATGATGTCATCCATCATGATGTCTCTGATTGCGAATCTTTATAACTTTTACAATGAAAGGTCGTAACCTTTTCACAAATGCATCTGAATAGGTTATACAATTAATTCACACAATGATCTATAAAAAAAAACAATAAAACAGGGAACTTGTTGAAATATTGGTGAGACGATAATTTATGGACAACCTTTGAGAGACGCTAGACTGACCTTGAGAGTGTTCACCTAATAACTAGGACAAAATGAGGGTTATAAACCAGTCTGAGGAATTAGAATTATGATTTACAGTTGATGATTAAAGTTAGGAATTAGATCTAGAGTTTTCATCACGAACTGATATCAGTTATAATGCCAAGACTCTATCTATTCAAATGGATGAGTGAACTTCACACCACAATCCATGACCTGTTGTGTTATATCGGATTGATTTGTCCATAAATTATAGTCCCGCCGAAATATCTATATACCATTCACAGGTAGCAACTCCGCCTGGAGTCCCCCTGGAGCTACTGCCTGTCCCAAGCCCGGATAAAGGTGAAGGGTTGAGCATGAAGTTAGCGACCTCATCCGTAGAAAAACTAACTCGCTAAACAAACGCTAACCAGAAAAAATTATTCACAGGTCCTTCCAGGTATCAGTAGATAGAATAGTCAAAAAAACACTGTTGGATGCCGGCTCAGTGGTCTAGTTGGTTAAGCGCCTGACGCAAGACTGATAGGTCCTGGGTTCAATCTCGCGGAGTGCGGGATCGTGGATGCGCACTGCTGATGAGTCCCATACTAAGACGAAACGGCCGTCCAGTGCATGCAGGTTTTCCATGTTGGTCTGGCTTCAATTGACTCGTGATTTCAATCAGTGAAATTTCTTAAATCCCCACTAAACCTCTTCTGAGAATAAGATTACTTCATGATGTATTCTATTTTAATAAGTAATTACAACAACCATAATAAATGATTCATGACACATTGAATAAACCAATATAATAACATTTTTTTTGCAACCAATTGTGTGAATTATGTGAATAACATTATAAATTTCTTATCAATAGCAATCTATGATGATTGAGATACCATTTAAATATCAAAACAAATTTGTTTTATGTTTTTCTTCTTTGTTTTTTTTCTTTTCCATAAAACAGCATAGTAACAATCAATGAATGTGGAGGAACTAAAGGATACAAATTTATTTTTTTTCTTTTTTCTTTGGAATATTTAATTGGATAAAATTATTCTCTTTTTATTTGTTTATCTTTTTAATGATAAAAATAATCATCATAATATACTGAATAAATAATCAATATAGTTACTAAGTGAAATATACATTACAAAAAAATATTATTACCTAATTAAAAATGATTGAACAACGTATTCATAATAATGAAACGCATAGAGTAAGTTAATTATTCGATATGTAATTGTTTTATTTTATATAAAATGTAATAATGATTTTATATGTCACGTTACTGGTTGCTATGATAATATTTTCAAATTGTAATCTCTTACATATTGACAGATTTCAACCATATTGTTTCATATATTCCCTTAACGAAAGAAACCCTTTTTTAAATGTTGTGAAATAAAGTGTCAATTTGTCTAATCACTTTGTATACTTTAAATGTTACACATAGATGTATTAATTTATATGAAATCAAATGTTTAATAGTTATGATTTTGTGTGGAGCGTACACTATGTGGATACTGTTTACTAATAGAGTAAATCTATAATTATTTTCCATAATGATCTAAGTATAGACAACAACTGCAAGAGAAAGTATGGGAGAGATATCATTGTGTAATTTATTACATGGAACATAAGTAAATTATTATTAATAAGGTAAACAGAACAGTCAAAATGGTTACTTACTTACTTACTTACTTACTTACTTGCTTACTTACTTACTTACTCACTTACTTACTTACTTACTTACTTACTCACTTACTTACTTACTTACTTACTTACTTATGTCTGTTACCACTCGTGAAGGAGAATAGGCCGCTCCCCAGCACTCTCCATTCAACTCTATCATGGGCAATCCTTTCCAGTTCTTTCCAGTTGCTATTCATTCTTTTCATATCTGCTTCCAATTTTCAACGTATTATGTTCTTTGGCCTTCTTCTTTTCTGTTTCCCTTCAGGATTCAAAGTTAGCGCTTGGCTCGTGATGTAGTATGATGATTTCCATAATGTATGTTCTATCCACTTCCAACATCTTTCCCTGATTTCATCCTCACTTGGAAGATGGTTTATTCTCACCCACAGTAGGCTGTTGCTGATAGTATCCGGCCAACGGTACTAGATATGTAAAACTTAACTGAACCGTTGTTTAATTGAAATTCTAAATCAATATAAGTAAGACAACCACTGAAAACTTGGAAACATGTAACAGCTGTTTCAATACATATTATTGGTTAAGAAGAACGTTTGTAAATGTTATTAGTCGATAAAAGATTTCGAAAAATTTATCAATGAGCAATATTTCCATGGTGGTTTGGCTTCAATAGACTAATGATCTCAACTACTGAAATTATTAAAATCTCCACAAAGCCCCTTCTGATACTAATCAACATATGCTCACTAGTGACTGGCTTCAAGATGTATGCCCTGGAGTTCTAGAGAGAATCGGTGACCAGTGGAGTTCAACAGGGTCATTTGTGAGACAGTAACTCACTGAAGACAATGATGGATGTGTCGCTTGATTTCGTGGATTAGTTGAAGTTAGATGTTATCACCGTTGATTGCAAGCTCAGTGGTCTATTAGTCAAGTGCTCGCGCACGAGACTAGTAGTTCCTGGCTTCGAATCCCGCGAGGCGGGGTCATGGATGCGCACTGCTGGGGAGTCTCACAATAGGATGAAACGTCTGTCTATTGCCTCCAGGTTTTCCATGGTGCTCTAGCTCATGATCTCAACCATTGAAATATTAAAATTACCACTAAAAATTATCTGGTAAACTAAAATCACTTCACGCTTACATAATTTCATGCCAAAGATAGTAGTTCTTACATTTGATGTTAAAATCACTTATCCGAAATTTCATTAAAGCAGAAATACTTTCAAAATTCTAGTATCAAATGATTAGCTTTCAAAGGATCTTCAAAAATTCAATAAAAATTATTTATTTGTATATACAGATATAGACTTTTTTGAAATGATAGAATTACTTTATCCAGTTAATAATTAATTACAATGCATCTTGCTAACTTATTCTAATGTAAGCAAGTGATAGTGTGAAAATTTAGTATATAAATTTAAATTTTTGGGATTTGTGAAGATCTTAGTATTTTAAGTTTTATTCACTAGTCCATCATTAAAAATCTAGAAGCACTGGGCAGCCTTTGTGTCCTACTATGTGACTTCTTAGTAGTGCGCATCCACGACCCTACATATGGGACTTGAACCCTGTTTGATCACCTGAGTGAACGCTTAACATCTAGACTATTTTGCCAGCATACAACGGTGTTAATGTTTAACTTCAATCGACCGATAATTTTGTGATCCATGATCACATGCGAGATCAAATGTCTTGGGTTCGAGTCCCGCGTACAGAAGGAGTTAAATACTTGGACAAAAAAGGGCGTACAATATTCTCAGGTTTTCAATGGTGGTCTAGCTTAGACTAACTCATGAATTCAATTTTGATAGGTATTAAAGCTAAAATAAACATATACTTTTCATTTGGAATGAATAGCAAATTTTTCTATCGCGTAAGCACCTACCTAATAAATTCGACATTTATTACAAATCATAGAGAAAAATATCAGTTGTTTAATGATTTGTCATTTGAAAACACTTAATTATAACTTACAACAGAGATTCATGTTCGTTAGATGTTTTCAAAATTAACATATTTAAAATCATAATCACTGTGGGTGTGCTATGAGTAATAAATGTATTCTTATCATGTTGTAACCGAATCGAATCTACCCTCTGTGAATAAATATTGAAACAGTGAGGGGTTTTATAGATATTATAGTCATTTTTAATAGTTGAATTCATAAGTCAATTGAAACTAGACTACTATGGAAAACATGAAAGCAATGGACGGTCGTTTCGTCCTATTTTGGGGGTCCTTAGCATGCGCATCCACAGAGACATCTGTCAAAAGTTATTGGATATAACTTAATGCTTTGTTAATAAATTATAAATAGGGTAATTGTGAATTCTGAGTAACAGTCATGATTAAGCTGAAGGGGCTTTATGGAGGTTTATTTAATTTGTAAGTTGCATACCTCATAGATGGATCTTAGTTGGGTGGCTACTGAAAGTCAAAGAGCAGTCGTTGTTTTTATTTGATGAGAACCATTGGTTGAAATCAGAACTGTACCAATCTTGATCAACTCAGTGGACCTGACAGTTCATGTTCCACCAAATTAATTATATGTCCTGGAGTTAGTCCTTCGTTGAGTGATATGTGCTCACTGCCAACCCACTCCAAATTAAGGTCAAAAAGCTACCTAGTACCCTCCAGTTTTCAGTGATATCTCACCTTAGTTTAATATGTGACACATGCAGCTTACAACTAACTGTGCTTATAAAGTCATTTTGATTTAACTGCTACATATCTGTAAAGAGAGTACATTTTAGAAGAAAAATAATAAAATAAGTTATTTCTGACCAAGATGTTTTAATTCTGTATGGATATATATGGATAAAACATTATATTTGTCTGATAATAAAATAGAATTATCAGTAAAGGGTTGCGTGATTATTAAGTTTTTAATTGAGATCATGAACTGACTGATGTTAGACCACCATTGAAAATCTGGAAGCACTGGAAACTAGCTCACTAGTGACTAACTTCGTGAAGGAATTCTCGGAATTATAATGAGAAGCCGTAACCAGTGGAGCTAATCCGTGTCGAGTACAGACATGTATATACCTCAGTACAATTGGAGATGGTCGCATAATTTCGTTGATTGGTTGAGGTTTGACATTAACACCATTGTGTGCCAGCTCAGTTATCTAGAGGCTAAGCGTTCGCGCGCGAGACCGAAGGTCCTGGGTTCGGATCTTGCGAGGTGGGATCGTAGATGCGCACTGCTAAGGAGTCCCACAATAGAACGAAACAACCGTCCATTGCTTCCAGGTTTTCTATGATGGTCTAACTTTAATTGACTCATGATCTTAACTTTGAAAATATAATTGTCAATGATTATTATTTTATTGTATATTAGGTGGTTATGGATAATTTCTTTTGTCAATAAATGAGCAGTAAGTAATAAAATAGAAACAATAATAATAAATAGAATAAATTAGTTCGTAAATAAACTGAATGTCAATTTTCTTTTATTTATGAATCATGTGGATAGGTGTTAACATTAACGTTTGATTTACATGTGATCACCCCAAGCTTACATTCGATACGAATGAATCTATCTACATGTTCGAATATATATATATAATACTCAGCATGTTTCATATGAAAACAGTATACATTAGTGTAAATAGTTTCTAAGAAACGAATAGTAAAAAGGAGGATTTTCAATGAGTTTCCTTTGCATAGTCGTTAGTTACTCTTAAATTTTAAGTTGTCATTTATTATTATTAATATTACTACCCAGTTGGTTTGATTTTAGGTAATAACTAATAATAATTAATATTGTTTAAGTGATTACTGCAATTAGAAGTTATCAAGTTTATGATAATGTAGTTAAGAAATAAGTTGACTTTCTAATCAGACTCACTTGGAACACTAACTGATATTTAGTTCATTGATGAATTAGTGAATCTTGGTCGATTAAAGTGGTTGGGACAAACTCAGTTACAATTCAATCACTTAATAAATAATGATTACTGATGTGATAGTAGGTTGAAAGGAAATTAGAGATGACTAAATCAAGACTCAATATTAGTTCATAAAATCATTGATTGGTTTATTGGGACATTGAAGTGAAGGAATGCTAACTGATTGTCATTTGCTAGATTATTGTGATCAGCGGTTTTAGATGTTGTGGCTTATAGTCGGTCACTGTGAAGAAGATGAATTCACTCTTCTCTGTTATAGACCAATACTTTTCGTTTCATGAACTTATCCTTTCTTTTTCAAATCATATTATCAATACCCATTCTTTTCCACTTCTACAGATTCAGATCATTTTTTACCTTCTTTTCTTATTTTGCTTTTTGTTTTGTAAAACAAACATGTTGAAATGTATCGTGCTGAGAATCTTATAGTGTACCGAAATATAACATTGAATAAAGCCATTAATAATAATATTGATGATAATGATATATTTACAACTTCTACTGTTCTGGTATTGGTCTTCATAATTTTATTTCTGTGAACTTATGTGATATGATGACTTGGATTGAAGCACAAATGTGCCAGGTTCTAGGTTCCTTATGGCATACTGCCTGAGGCATATATATATATATATATATATATATTATAT